TGATATGGACTCAGCTTCTGCAGGAGTTCTAAACGTCACCCTACCCTCTTTGGAGGAGCCTTCACAGCTGACCTCGGTAGTTTCCCCAGTACAGAATAGCACTGCACCTCCTCCAATATGTTGATGATCTTCTGGTTAGTGACACCCAAGCTGCCTACTGGGAAGGCACAAAACTCTGCTACAACATCTGAAGGTGGCTACAAGGTATCTTGGAAAAAGCCACGAATCTGCAAACAAAAAGTCAGATACCTGGATTTGACTTAAATCAGGAGTACTATGCCCTTAGATGGGGGCAGGGAAGAGGCTATCTGCTTCATCTCAGTCCCAACCACAAGAAAGAAACTCAAATTCCTTGGAGCTGCTGGCTTCTGCAAAATCTGGATCCCTGGGTTCACAGAAAAAGCAAGACCCCTACACAATGTCTTGTCTGAAAAAGGCTCTGACACCTTTGATGGGAACCTAGCACAAGAAAAAGCCTTCGATGACATTAAAAAGGCCCTCTCTACAGCCCCAGCCTTGAGAATTCCAGAAGTAACTCACCCATCAATTGTTGATAAACCATGACATGGGGCCGCAAAGATGCGCACTCCAGCTGTCGGCCCCTGGGAGCCAGTGACCTACCCGTGCAAACACTTGGATCCAGTCGCTAAGGGCAGGCCCCTCACCTCCACGTGCCAACAGCCACTGTCCTTCTGATCGAGGAAGCTGACAAGCTCACCGTAGGCCAAGACCTAACTGTCCAGGTGCCACATGCTGTCCTGGACCTCCTGAGTAACTGTGGACATCACTACTGGCTCTGCAACAGCCAGGTCACCCAGTACCAAGGACTCTTAGGTGAACATCCTCACCTGACCCTTGTGACAGTAAAACCGCTCAATCCTGCCACGTACCTGCCCACCAAGCTGGGCCCTCCAGACCGTGACTGCCTGGCACTAACCAATGAGCTGTTCTCAAGCTGACAAGACTTACAGATGGACCGCCTGACAGATGCAGAGTACACCCTGTTTACGGATGGAAGGAGCCCTGCTAGGGATGGGGTCCAACAGGCTGGATATGCTGTGGTCTCCCTAGACCAAGTTATTCTGGTTGAAGCTCTCCCACAAGGATGGTCTGCAGAGCACGCTAAACTATGGGCTGTCATACAGGCCCTCAATTGGTCTGAAAACAAAAAGGCCAACATCTACATGGACTCTAGATATGCCTTTGACACAGTTCATGTTTAAAAAATCATTAAAAACAAGAAATTCTCCTGCTTCTCTCTGCTGTCTGGAAACCTGCTGAAGTGACAATTATCCACTGCCAGGGACATCAAAAGGTCAAAAGTCTCATCTCAGAAAACAGTAACCAGGTAAAATTACAAAGCAGCTGCTGTGGGAGCACCCTAGGACACAAACAGCACACATGCAAACCAGAACTTCTAATGGACATTGCTCCTGACACCATGATGGTAATCAAGGTCAATTACTCTCTGGGGTCCACCAGTGTCAATGAAATTTCCTTTCTTCTGAGCTCCTGGCTGTTGTTGACTCAATTTTCCCCACAACATTGTAGTATTCACTCAGTATTTTCATCACCTCAAAATGAAATCTTGTGTTTATAAGCTTCTGTGATGTTTAATTCTGCATTTTGTCTTCAAGAAGAAGGTTTGTCTCCTATGTGGTACGGAGGCCCTGACTTCACACAGCACATAGCAGAGTAGGGTGCATGTCCTACAGGAGGCCGAGATGACCAGAGGCTTTGTGCTCTGCTAAGGGCCTGGCTCACCAAGGACAGCTGTCACTCAGAGAAGCCGGTCAATGGCCCCGCTCCAGATTTTCATATTATACATGAGTTTCTTTCTGTGATTTCCATTACCCAGTCAGTGATGGCCCAAAAACAGCAAATGGAAGATTTAAAAAAAACCTCAAATTTTAAATTGTGTGTCATTCTGGGGTAGCAAAATTAAATCTTTAAAAAATTTGAGAGAGGGTCTTGCTATGTAGTCCAGTCTGCTTAACTCACTACATAGTGTAGGCTGGCCTGAAGCTTGTAGCAATCCTCCTGCTACAGCCTCCCAAGTGCTGAAATTACAGGTGTGCACCATGCCTGGCAAAATTTTATTAGTACCTGCTGGCAGCGCATAATTACATTCATCATAGGGAGTTGGTACACATACATAACACTTAATTATTTTCATCTTTCCCTTCTCCTCTTCCCCTTTCTTCCATCCTGATTCCCTTCCCTTTTACCAAACATCTATCTTTATTTCCCATCCTGCTGTTCCACACTGTCGTACTCCATCCTGCCTGAGATATGAACCGCTCTTCTGTCCAGTGTATCCACGCTGTATATGCTACCTGCCAACTGGTCAGTACAGCGCTTGCTGACACATCACTAGTCATGGTGTCACAATGCCTGTGTTCCAGTAGCCCTCATTTTACTTAACGATGGCCCCAAAGGCATGGGTAGCGGAGCTAGAAATTCAGATATGCCAAAGAGAAACTGTGACGTGCTGTAAGTGAAAAGCTCTTAATAAGGAAAAAAAAATGTGGAAATTGTTAAGATCTATAGTTATAATATATCCATGAAAAAATTTTTTTTTTTGAGACAGGATCTGTCTGTGTAGTCCAGGCTGGCCTTGAACTCATGGCCTCCTTCTGCTTCAGGCTCCTGAGAGCTGGGATCACAGGAGTGCACCATCATGCCTCACCTAGCCATGACACTGGGAAGAAAAATTCACTTTTGCTTTCACACCCTGAATTGCAAGTGTTATCGCCACAGTACATGATAAGTACTTAAGATGGAAAAGACATTATTCAGTTTGGATGGAAGACTTCGTGCAGTACTTTGGATTGACTAGGCAGGGCCTTTGCAGTCAGATGCATCTCTAGCTTTGTCATCACTTTTTTATTTGAGACATTTGCCCAGGCTGGGCTCACACTTGCCATCCTCCTGCCTCAGCCTCCCTGAGCGCTGAGATTTATAGGTGTGGGCCACTGCACCCTACTGAAAATGTGTTCCAATTGACGTCAGCACCAGAAAGCATTAAGCTTGTCTAGAATTCAGCACAGGACCCTCTGAAACAAGTGACACCAAGCCATTTAGTACAAGTAATGGATGGTCAGAGACTCAGGATTAGGTTTGGGCTGAAAAAAAGAATTACTGGAGATACTGCCAATGAGGAAGCTGCTGCCTCATGTCCTGCAGAGTTGAAGATGTTGATTAAGGAGAAAGAATGCCACCCAAGCAAGCCTGCAGTTGTTCTACTTTATTGTTAGGTGTCTCTTACAGTGCCTGTAAATTAAACTTTATCACAGTTATGTATGAATAGCAAAAATAGTATATACAGGGTATGGTACTATCCTTAATTTCGGGCATCTACTGAGGGTCTCTGGACCCTCAAAAGGGGGTGGGTATCTGTAAAAGCCAAAACTCAAAAGGTACATGGGGCAGTGAAAGGGAACTCATTTCCATGCGTTCCTCAGTGGTGATTATCTAGGAATATGCTTATATGTAGACAGTCTAACAAAGAGAACACATTCTTCACATTTTTTGTCTTTTTGAGACAGGGCCTCGTATGCAGTTTGGGCTGGTCTTGAGCTCACTTTGTAGCCCAGGCTGGTGTCAAACTTGCAAAGATCCTCCTGCCTCAGCCTCCTGAGTGCTGAGATTACAGGCGTGTGCCACTACGCCCTGCTTCTTCACTGTATTTTTTTCAGTGGTGATGGGACTCAAGCCCAGGGCCTCACATGTGCTCGCAGCTCCACTACTGAGCTATTGTCCCAGCCCCTGCTCTTTGCTTTAGCTTGATAGATTGCATAGAAACTCTTGTGTCTTCAGATGTGCTAGCACACAGGGATATTTATCTTCTTGAAGGTCCTTGACTACCTTTCATGTTTTGTCTGTTATATTAAACTGCTGTACTTGAGTTAATTGTGGTAATTTAGAAAAATATGAAGTGGTCAATGTAGCAAAATTTCATATTTTTTTTCTGGCAAAATTATAGTGTTCTTACATGGTTTTCAATGCCTGTAGGCCTCACTCCCAGACCCTGGCCCTAGTTGTTGTTGTTGTTTTTTTTTTTTTTTTACTTTTTTCTTATCTCACCAAAGAATTAGGTGTTAGTTTCCACTGAACTCTATTTCCTAATTCATTCACTTTTGCTTGTACCTTTACTTTTGCTAGATTCTTTTATTAAAATCTTATTTCTAATACACCAGGAAACCTATTACTTGGATGAATAATGGAAAACGATGTGATAAAGGCCTGAACTACACACACAGTATACTTATCAATCTACACAGGTTCCAGAGAGTGGTAAGTGTGTAAGTACCTATCTTTGATGGAGGACAGATAAACACTAAACTAGGGGAAAGCTATGTGAGGGGCAGTAGCACACGTCTGAAATTTTGGGACTCTGGTGTCTGGTGCAGAAGGTTTGCAAGTTCAAGTCCAGCCCAGGCAACTTAGCAAGATCCCGTCTCAAAACTGAATACACAAACAAGGACTGTGAATGTAGCTCAGTGCATAGGCCCTGTGTTTAATCCCCAGTGCCCCTTCCCACACACACAAAAAGAAAAAGCAAAGATATGATGAGTGTGATCAAAGCAATGTTCATGGAAATGCAATTTGATTTTTCCAGGATTTTAGCTTAGCAGTGTGGGGTAAAATGTTGTGTATTTTGGCATCACAAATAATTCTTTTACTTGTTTCATATTTCCAAGTAGTTAAGTTATAATTTAAGAAAAGTATATATTTGTACTACACAGAAAGACAAAGATCAACTTGTATTTTTATTGTAGAAACTGACATTTATCTTTAAGTTATCATCTTTACTGCAATGACATTTGAACAAGTGTTAAATTCTTTTAAAGACTAACCTTAGTACAAGAACATTATAGAGGATAATTTTTAAAAATATTTCTCATTTACTTATGTTTTTTTGAGACAGGTCTCCCCATGTAGTCCAGGCTGGCCTCAAACTCACGATCCTCCTGCCTCAGCCTCCTGAGTGCTGGGATTGCAGGCCTGTACCATCACATTCAGCTTTAAAGATTTTTTAAATTAAAAACACTTTTAAGTAAAAGAAAACATTCTGCTATGTACTAAATATCCAGCAAAAATTTCAACTCAAGTTGAAATACTTTTAAGAAGTATAAAATATTGAATCCCACATTGTAAAACACTATTAAGGATCAGTCAAGTCTCCCCACATTGACAGAATTTTTCAGTACTTCCATCTTGAATAGCATAGACTTCTAAAAAACCTTGAGTTCTGAAAAATAAGAAAAAAAGAGTAAATTGTGATTCCTAACATTGTTTTCAAACTTAGCGAGGAAATGCAGCACATATAATTTACTATCTTAACCACTTGCAAGTGTGCAGTTCAGTAGGGTTAACTATGTTCAGGTTGTCCTGTGCTCTGCAGACAGTCTGCACCTTGTGGACCTGAAATTGTGTTTCCGTCAACAACAAACCTGCGTCCCTCCAGTCCTGGTTAACCACTGCTCCTCTTTGTTTTTATGAATTTCACTATTTTAAGCACCTTGTAAGTGGACTCACATAGCATTTGCCTTTTTTTGTGACTGGGTTATTTCTTCAGGATAATGTCCTTGTTATGGTTGATACACTGTGTCAACTTGGGGAGTCTAGAGGCTTGGCTAAGTGACTCAGCAGTTCTCCATCCTGGGGTGAAAAGGACACGCCCTTACCCTTCTGGGATGTTGTTCATTGTGTCAATGTGAGAAGTTTAGAAGGTCAGCTATGTGACTCAGCAGGGAGCCAGGGTGTGTGCTTTGTATTCATCCTGAGCCTGTGCAAGAGGTGGGCATGGAGATGGTGTGAGAGCTACACGCCCCCTGGGTGGGGGTAGCCTGTTTACAATGTAAGGGAGGGACAGAGGCTTGCTCTTCTCTGCCACTCCTTGCTTGGGCTCTTGCTGCTTTGCTGTTCTACTGCCATGAACTGTTGCCCTCTGCCATGTGCCACCCTGCCTTGGGGCCAGCTGAGTACGGACTGGAACCTCCACAAACTGTGAGCTAAATTCCTTCTTTGGGCGTTGGGTCTTTTGTCTCAGCAACACAAGAAAAGTAACCAAGAGAGTCCTCGAGGTCCAATTCGTAGCATGTGGCGGAATTTTCTTTCTTTTTAAGGCTGAATGGTATTCCACTGTCTTTACAACCCCACAGAAGTCTCAGGGACCCGACTCTCCACATCCTTGCCGACACTTGTTAGTGTCTGGACGGAAGCCATCCTAGTGAATGTGAACTCACATGTCGCTGCGGCTCTCACTGAAAGTCTCCAATGATCAGTGATGTTGAACGTGTTTCCGCGTGTTCGTGTCATTTGTAGCATCATCTGTGGAGAACTATGTGTTTAAGTTCTTTGCCCATCTTTTAACCAGGTTGTGTTCTCTTCTTATAGTGGCGTTGCAAAGTTCTCTTTTGGATGTTCACCTCTCATCAGACAGGACTTGCAAGTGTTTTCTCCCACCCCAAGACTGTTCTTTTTGTTTTGTTGGTTGATGCAAAAATGTTGAGAAGTTTGCTACCAGTCCATTTGTCTGCTTTTGCTTTTGGTGTATTACCCAAACAGTTACTGCCAAATCCTCCGTCAAGTTTTTCTTGTATTCTTTTTTCCTAGAGTTTTACAGTTGTGGGTCCCAGGTTTAGGTTTTTAATCCATGCTGTGTTAATTTTTGCTCACGTGCAGTCCAGCTTCGTTCTGCACTGTGGGTGCCCTGGGTCTCCCACGTCGTTTGCTCAGTGGACTGTCCTCTTCCCACTGAGCAGCCTGGAGCCCTTGCCAAAAGCATTCCTTCACATATGCAAGAACATATGTCTGCATGGCCTTCTGTTCCTTTGTTCTGTTTGCCTATCTTTATGCCAGCACAAGAGTTATGATTACTACCACTTTAGGGAGTATTTCTGCATTTTACAGGTAAGAATTCTCCAACCACAGTTCTTTTTTTTTTTTTTTTTGTCTTTTTGAGACAGGGCCTCACTATGCAGTTCAGGCTCGCCTTGAGCTCACTTCATAGCCCAGGCTGGCCTCGAACTCACAAGGATCCTCCTGCCTCAGCCTCTGGAGTGCTGAGATTACAGGAGTGTGCCACCATGCCCGGCGGTTGTTTCTGAGATGTGGTCTCACCACACTGCCCAGGCTGGCCTCAGCTGTGCAAGTAACTGAGTCTCCAAGCACGTGCCCCCATGCACGGCCAACCATGTTCTTTTCTCAGAACTGTGTTGGCTATTTAGGGTCCCTTGAGGTTGCATGTGAATTTTAGGATGAGGTTTTTCCATTTTTGCAAATAAAAAAAGCCACTGGGATTTTTATAGAAACTGCACCACATGGATAGATTCTTTTTTTTTGTTTTGTTTTGTCTTTTTGAGGCAGGGTCTCGCTGTGCAGTTCAGGCTGGCCTTGAGCTCACTTTGTAGCCCAGGCTGGTCTTGAACTCGAAACGATCCTTCTGCCTCAGCCTCCCAAGTGCTGGGATTACAGGCATGCGCCACCATGCCCAGCGATAGATTCCTTTGGATAGTACTGGCACTTTAATGATAGTATGTCTCCTAATCCCTAAAAATGGTTTGTTTCAAAAGCCAGAGAGACTGAAGGCATATCAGAGGAGGGCCCAGGTGGATGATTCTACATGATTTCATGATGCAAACAACTCCAGGACTTGGGCAAGGAAAGCAACAACAGCAGCAAGGGTCTACAAGTGATTCTGATGCATACACCAATAAAGAAATAAAGTTCATAAATCATTTTCTCTTTCCTAGAAAAACCCTGACTTGGGGAGTTATTAGGATGCCATTTATAAAAAAGGTAAACAGTTTTACCAAGTTTGGTGTTTCCAACTGGACATGGTGGTGCACGCCTGTAATCCCAGCACTCGGGAGGCTGAGGCAGGAGGATTGTTGTGAGTTTAAGACCAGCCTGGGCTACAAAGTGAGCTCAAGCCTAGCCTGAACTGCACAGCGAGACCCTGTCTCAAAAATAAAAAGGTTTGGTGTTTTGTTCTTATATGTAGTCTTTGTTAGAATTATATTTTCAATCCAAGCTGGGTACAGGGGCCCATGCCTATAATCCCAGCAACTCAAGAGACTGGGGCAGAATTATAAATTTGAGGCCAGCATGAAACCCAGTCTCAAAATTTAAAAGAAGGCTAGGGATGTAGTTCACTGGTAGAGCATTTTCCTTTAAAACACTTGTAAAAAGTGTTGCTTGACCAGCAATACATCAACTAGCCAGGATTATTGCATGTTTACATATAGATCTTTTCTATTAGTATGTAGCTTTCCTATCAGAATTTTTAGAAACGCTGTACAATACTAATTCAGAATTACAATGAATTCTCTCAAGTTTACAAAAAGGGTTATACTTCCATTTATCTTTGTTCTCAAAATTTACTAGTGTTCAGTGAACAAATCTTTTGTCATTGGCTTATTTCTAAATGTTTTATTCTTTTTGACACTGCAAATAGTTTTCTTAAAATCTTGTCAGATTATTGTTAGTGTACAGGAATACAACTAATTTTTTTGAGATTTATTTTTTATTTTCCTTTTTTATTAGTGTTTATATAAATATAAAGAATACATTCATTGTGGGGAATTGGTACATATGTATATTGCATCCTGGTATTTTTATTTCTCTGCCCCCTCCCAAGAAATGTAACTAATTTTTATTTGAATTCTGTATCTGTCAATTTGCTGAATTTTTATGGAATCTTCTGCTTTCTGCATATAAGCTCATGTCCTCTTACCAGATCTTCTGTTCTGAGTTTGATGCCTTTTTCTTGCCTGATTCTCCAGTTAGAAATCCCAGTATGAACAGAAGTGGTGTCATACTCCTTTCAGCCTTTATTGTTTTGTTTTGAGATTAGGTCTTACTATGTAGCCCAAGCAGGGCTTGAATTTGTGATCCTCCTGTCTCAGCCTCCTGAGTGCTGGGATTATAGGCCACAGACCTACTTTTCATCAGGAATGTATTGTAAATTTTGTCAAACTTTTTCTTGTATCAATTGAAAAAAACCTATCAGGTGTTTTTTCAATGCAGTGCAGAGTATTAATCTGTTAATGTAATGTATTTCATTGATTTCTGTATGTTGAGCAATCCATGTGTGGTGGATTAGCAACTGGTGGTCAACTTGTAAAACCCAGCTGAACTGAGTAAGCGTGGTGCTGGGTGTGGGAGGCCCGCCTGGGGATTGTTGCCAGTAGCATAAGAGGCAGAACTGGAGAAGGAGAAGGAGGCTGTTGGGAGCTGAGAGAGGCTGTTGGGAGCTGGTAGAAGCTGTGAGGAGCTATTGGTTGTTTTGGAGG